AACGACATAAACTGTAGACCTAACATGTAAGGGATAGAGTGTTAGAATGTACACTGGGCCACAGGAGGTGGTTGAGTGCAGGGAGCATAGCTCTGTCTTAAACAGGGTGCTGGGTGGACCCACCGAGGAGACACTGGGAGGGTAAGAAGGAGGTGAGGGAACAAGCCAAGGGACATGAGGGAAAGGTCCAGGCAGAGGACATGCCCGGCCCTCCCAGGGACCAGCCAGGAGGCCCTGGAGTGAAGTGAGCAACAGACCCTGGGAGGCCAGGACGGAACGCTGGGGTTTGCGCCTGTGAGACAGGTGTTTCTGTGAAGGTACTTTGGAGATAAGATTAACGTTTAAATCAGGAGATGCGGAGTAAAGCAGACTGTTCTCCGTGCTGTGGATGAGCCTCCTCCAATCAGCTGAAGACCTGAAGAGAACAGCGTGGGAAGGAATTCTGCCTCTGGACTTGAGTTACAACTCTCCCTGGGTATCCAGCCTGCCAGCCCACCCTGCAGATTTTGCACTTGCTAAGCTGCCACCATCGCATGAACCGGTTCCTTAAAATAAATCTGTGCGTGTGTGTATCTATAGATATCTATAGATGTACAGAGTTAGAGATACACACACACTCTCTATTGGTTGTTTCTCTGGAGACCCCTGATCCATACAGGGTAGGTGTGGAAGGAATACTTTGGAAGAACTATGTTCATTTTTTATGCTCTCTGTTTCTGTGCAGTTAGAATTCTTTAAAACAAAGCTTTATTTATAAGGAAAGTGCATGATTTTAATTCACAATGAAGAGCAAGTAAGCAAACATGATGTTTACATTAATAGCATTCTCATTAGGACATACGGTTTCATAACAACCATGTAAACAGCTGTGGAGAGGAGAGGAAGGGCAGTGGGCAGAGGAAACGGAAGCTGACAAACAGCCAAGGAAAGAGATGGAGGCACCAAGAAGCACACACAAACCCATGGGCAGATGGTACAATACAGAGCAATTAGTCCTGATCATCCAGAAGGGAAAGGATATTACCCATGTTCAGATGTGCGGAAAAATGCCATCACTCGTCATGTAATGTTTTTAAAGTTCGTAACCAAGAGAATAAACTTCAGTTACTTGAAAATCCATTTCTGTAAAACATCTTTCTCCATGATAACACCACTGACAGGGGGAGATGTTTATGTGGCTTTAGGGATTCTAGTATTCCAAAGATAGACACTGTATTTCTGAAAGGCAGCCATGCATTACCATGAGCATGAGCACAATTTATTGGACATTATGTGTTAGGCATAGTTTCAATAATCTCACTTATAACTAAATGCTGTGAGAAGAAAGTAAACTCCAGGACTGGGATTTGATCTGCATTGATCATTCCAACGTGGCCACACATGTCTCCATGGTTTGGGTTCTCCCCAGTGCCAATCCCAGTCAGTTTTCCTTGCCTCCAAGTCTTCACAAGGGCAGTGGCCTCTGCCTAGAATGCCCTTCCTCCCACCCCACAGCCTTCATCGTATCGTCTGACCCTCCTGCAGGTCTTGATTCAAGCCCCTTTTCACCCATTTTCTGGTGCCCCCATTGGGCTGCCTTGCACAAACCACTGCTCCCTGGAAGGTGAGCACATCTTTTTAGCTTTGTTCCCCCAGTGCCTGACATGTACAAAACACTGATACGCATGTGTTGGATGAATGTAACGCCCCTGAAACTTTTCAGTACCCCCTACCTCGCACAGCACTCAACTTACTTTAAACTGAGGAGCTGACATATGATGTCATGAGCTTTGAGCTTGTTTATCTGACTTCCATATTCAAGCCAGGAAATTACCTAAAGTCCCAGGAAAACCTCAAAGAAGAGAGTTGCCTTTCATGTGGTAAGTATCATTCTAGGCTGGTGCTGCCAGATCTGAGGCTGAATAATGTAGATGTGAAAGCAACAGTCAAATGCAAAGAACATGAAAGTGGGCTCAAGAATTCCATCCCAAGGAATTCCCTTTAGGGACATCAAAAGTATGTCAAGAGATCTAAATAAAGATCTGTAATTGCAAAAGCCTGAGAATAACCCAAATATACATCAAGAGATGACTGGCTGAATTTATGCTGTGGGACACTGTGTTGCCCCCAACAGGAATGAAGCTGGAATGCAGGCATTGATGTGAAAAGATGTTTGCCAGATAATGTTAGGTCAACAAAATGAAAAGGGAGCCCCTGCATGGGAGAACATGTTTGCCAATGATGCATCTGATAAAGGGTTAATTGCCAAAATATATAAGGAACTCATACAACTTAACAAAAAGGAAGACAAACAACCCAATTTGAAAATGGGCAAAGGACCTAAATAGACATTTCTCCAAAGCGGACTTACAGACGGCCAAGAGATATATGAAAAAATGCTCAAAGTCACTGATCATCCAAGGATGCAAATTAAAACAACAACGAGGTATCACCTCACACCTGTCAGAATGGCTACCATCAACAAATCAACAAACAACAAGTGTTTGCGTTCTTCACAAGGATGTGGAGAAAAGAGAACTCTAGGGCCTAGTACACTGCTGGTGGGAATGAAGACTGGTGCAGCCATGTGGAAAACAGTACCAAGTTTCCTCAAGAAATTAAAAATGGAACTCCCATTTGACCCAATGATCCAACTTCTAGGAATATATCCTAAGAAACCCAAAACACCAATCAGAAAGAACATATGCACCCCTATGTTCATAGCAGTTCTATTTTCAATAGCTAAGATCTGGAAACAGCCCAAGTGCCCATTAGTAGGTGAGCGGATAAAAAAGCTGTGGTACATTTACACTATTGAATACTATGCATCTGTAAAAATAAGGATCTCTTACCATTTGAGACAGCATGGAGCAGTGGTTCTCAACCTTGGCTGCACATTAGAATCACTTGGGAATCTTTTTAAAAATCCTGATTTCTGGGCCTCATCCTCTGGAAATTCTGTTTCTTTGTTATGGGGTGGGGCCACAACATTAGTAACAAAGAAACAGAATTTCCAGAGGATGAGGCCCAGGAATCAGGATTTTTAAAAGGTTCCCAGGTGATTCTAATGTGCAGCCAAGGTTGAGAACACTGGCATGGAGGGACCTGGAGAGTATTATGCTAAGCGAAATAAGCAAGTCAAAGAAAGATAAGTATCACATGATCTAACTCATATGTGGAATCTAATGAACAAAATAAACTGATGAACAAAATAGATCCAGAGACATAAAAACATGGAACAGACTGATGAATCTTAGAGGGAAGGAAGGATTGGGGGGGAGGGGGAGAGGGCATGGAGAGAGATTAACTGAGGAATTTATATGCACATATGCATAGCCCATGGACACAGACAATAGTGTGGTGAAGGCTTGGGAGGGGCAGGTGCAAGGAA